GTTGATAGTCGAGAATTTATGTTAAAGTCGTCTAATTACCATGGTCTGTCTCTTATTCTAGTTTCACTTAGAATCTTAATAAACTAGGAATTTACATATTACAGTGATTTATTCTTATGTAAGCTTTCCTTTTTCCTAATTTCGCTGATATGTCAGGACTAAACAACCATTACCTATACTTTCATAAGTAATGATTTACACTAGTGGTGGTATTAAATTACAAGAACAGAAGAGAAATACCTGAGGACCTTGCTCCACGCCCTTTCTGAAAGGGTCACCAACAACACGTTTCAGAGCACGAGCTTTCGATTTTTCCACAAACTCATCATAAATGCTTTCATGTACAAAAGTACGAGACCCAGCACAGCAGCATTGTCCCTGAGATAAAGCTCGTCTTTTCTTTAGGATCATAATACATCTTGAGAAAATCCTAAAAAGCATGGTTCTTTTGGGAGCATATCAAACTACCAGTGATCAGCCAAACCTGATTGAAGAACAATGCACTATGTGCAAGCTCTACCGCCTTATCAACATCAGCATCATCCAACACGATCATCGGAGACTTGCCTCCAAGCTCCAGCGTCACAGGCTTAAGGTTGCTTTTCGCAGCCATTTCAAGTACGATCTTGCCAGTATCAGTTGATCCAGTAAAAGCAAGCTGAATAGAGAAGTACAGAGTGGTTAAGGATAATAATTATAAAAAACATGGCATTATTTTCATAAAGGGGATAAGATGCATGATCTCCAAGCCAATCCATCAAAATTTTCATTGATAAATCATTCACCACTACTGCTCAGGTGTGAGTCGGTTCAGATGATCACTTCAATTTTATTAGAAGCCTTGTCTTTAGTTGTCTATCCTTAACACAATTAGCTTATTATATTTTCAAGGGAGCTATCTTACACACACATGCATTAAAAATTGTTATTTGCACAAGAGCATGTAATGGTCATGAACATCATAAAACAAAGTTAATCTTGGAAATCCATCTCTAAACAAGAATTCGGCAAAATTATGCTATTCACTACACAGTTTTACAAGGATTAGTCCACTCAACAGTCTCTCCCAATTCAAAATTGAAAACCTTTTAGATGATGCGACACGTTAAGTAAAAAATATTAAAAAAAACCTCATTTTCTCTTTATTCTTTAATTATATAATAATTATATTATATTTATTCTTTAATAATATAGTACACACACACACACACACACACACAAACACACACACATATATATATATATATATATATATATATATATATATATATATATATATATATATATATATAGAGAGAGAGAGAGAGGAATATGGGTATGCTTGGTACCAAGCACAAATTTTGTGCTTGGTAGTTAGGTGTCCTATTCCCATCTACTCATTTAAATGGGGGACCACATTCACATGGGTTGAGGAGTGCATGGGGATATGCAATCATTTGAATGAGTGGAGGGGATTATGTCACCTCACTACCAAACACAACTTTTTGTGCTTGGTACCAAGCATACCCATTTTTCTCATATATATATATATTCAATAATTAAATAAGTGCAAGCAGCGAAGAAATAGTTAACTCCAAAAAGGGGGAAGAAAAAGGGAAGAAATAGTTATGACCCAATAATAACTCAAAACATCATATGCCCCTTTGTAACCTTTAGGAGGACAGAAACAAATTGAGCCATATTATTCAGTATATTTAAAAAGAACAAGCAGATGTAATATTCCCAAAATAATATGGAAGGGGCTTAACTTACAAAAACAGGTAATAACTTGTTAACGGATCCAAGAAATGAACAACAGTGACATCTACCTTAAAAAGCCTATTAATGTGAGATGAGAACTACCATGTTGTCTCAAACTCAAGTGTGGATCTACTAAATATCTGAAAAAACCCCCATTAAGATGACATGGGATCTAAGAAATACCTTATCGACTTCCATGTGACTGGCAAGAGCTGCACCAGCAGTAGGACCAAAACCAGAGACAATGTTCAAAACACCTTCAGGAATCCCTGCCTGTCACATAACTACTTAGTCAGTACAAACACAAAAGGAAATAGTCTTCGCCAATCATTTTCAGGTGAAGTTTCTCGTGTTATGAAGAATAATCCTTCTTATTCAACCCCTAAAGCTAGAACAAATAAACAAAAAAGAAAGAAAGAAAAGAAGGAGAAAATAATACTTCTTAATTAATCATTCTCAAGTGGAGTTTCTTGTCTTATGAAAAATAATCCTTCTTATTCAATAATAAGTACCTAGAACATTAATCAAATAATTCATACAAAAAATTAAGATGCGCACTATATCAGCTCCCTTTTTCTAGTATTTCAGGGCTTGCTCATTCTAGAATGATATTTCATGAAGGGAGCTGTCAGATGGATGATAGACAAATATAAATAGGTCAAGCCTATACAGGTAAGACAAGCTATCAAAAAATTTTGGTATCCTCTTTTATCCAATGTCCTTTTCCATTTAGGTAGATGATCACAATCCCGCACCTAGATGGAGAAGCATTACAGAGAAACTTGTGTAAATTATCTAAAGAAACGTAAATATTAACTCTGATACGGCTAATTTACCAGATTGCCATTAAAGTAGCACCTAATAACCAAATTGTCATTAAAAGTAATTCTAGCGACGGTAAGGTATTAAAAGTAGCAGGACGTGACTAATTGGCCCAAAAAAAATTCTGGCCAAAATTCTCCGACAAGCTCTCATGTGCTCTATCAGGTGATGCTTAGGTGCCTTTTAAAATTATATGTGTGACGTGGCAGTGAAAATGTGAAGGGAGGGGGGGTGCATTAACTGCCCTAAAACTAAATCCACCTACAAAATTTCCCCCATTTTCTCTCTCACTAAGCTTTGAGAGAGAGAACACAGAAAAAGTAAGGAGGTGACACAGATTCTTCTCCTCGTTGATGATGGTGGTGGAGTTTTCGTCAGCCTAAACTTGTGAAGCCCTAACATTGAAGGACGGAGGATGGCGATGATAGAGATTCTCTTCCATCGATACTGACATGGACGGGAGCTTGAGCTTGAAGAAGCCATGATCTCCTGCCATGTAGAACCTCCAATTTGAAGGAGAAGACTAAAAAAAAAAACCTCTTCTTTTGCCCAAATTTGAAGATCCCCGTCTACCAACATGAAAAAATGACGAGAATGAGATTAACTACAGCTGCCAGCTCAACATAAATATGCCCCCTAAGCCTCGCATAAAGTGTTGCTGGGTAATTTTGGCCAGAAAATTTTGGGCCAATTTTCCACATCATGTAAGTTTTAACACCTTATAGTAGCTGGAATTATTTTTAATACCAATCTCGTTATTAGGTGCTACTTTTAATACCAATCTGATAATTTAGCTGAAAACATACCGACTTAAAAAGGAAAAGGAAAATATAAGTGTTTAGCATAAATTGGAAAGGCTAACCCAAATAAATTTCAATGATTAACCAAGAAAAATATAGGAGAGAGACTTGCTCCTCTGACACAAGTTGCCACATTAATGGCCCCACAAAAAGCTCTCAATAACAATGTCATCAAAAAAATTCAAGCATATGATAAATCCATTATGTCATAAAGTTATCCACCAAACTTTTTAGCCATTGATGTTGCCTAGGGATCCATGAAAGATATAAAGATGTTTTTTATATATATAAATTAGTGGCTAAAAAATTTGGTGGACATCCACTTAAGTTGACATAAGATCAACTCTATATATAGAGCAAAACTTGTGTCAACTTAAGTAGATAGCAAAAAGTTATCCATCAAACTTTTTAGCTATTGATGTTGCCTAAGGATCCATGGAAGATATGAAGAGATTTTATATATATATATAAATGAGTGGCTAAAAAGTTTGGTGGACATCTACTTTAGTTGACATAAGATCAACTCATATACATACATACCAGTTTTGGTATGTTGGGAGATGTTATTATTGTTGTACCCAATGCTTACATTGCTTTTGCGGGTAAAAGAGTAATTGAACAAACATTAAGTAAATCGTCTTGGGTCTCGTATTTTTCAGATTAATATTTAGGGATAGATCTTACCTTTCTTTTTATCTCCTCAAACAAATCGAAATGATTGAAGTTCTTCTATTTGGAATCGTCTTAGGTCTAATTCCTATTACTTTAGCAGGATTATTTGTAACTGCATATTTACAATACAGATGCGGTGATCAGTTGGACCTTTGATTGACTAATAGTTTTTTTGATTGACCTCCTCCTTGTAGGAGGTCAAACTCAAGTTGCAATTCGACTGTGTTTTGTTAAGGTTTTTTTTTTGCGATTCAAAATAACCTAAACGCAATCACGCTATGTAGGATTTGAATCTACGACATTGGGTTTTGGAGACCCGCGTTCTACCGAACTAAACTAAGGTCAGGGGCCAGGGCCGGGTCCAGGGCCGGGGCCGGGTCCAGGGCCGGTTTAGGGTTTCGATTAGGGGTTAGGTTTAGGGTTTCGGTTAGGGGTTAGGTTTAGGGTTAGGGTTAGGGGTTTAGGGGTTTGGGTTTGGGTTTGGGTTTGGGGTTTAGGTGTTTGGTTGGGAGTTGGGGTTGGCGGGTGGCGGCGTGGAGTTGGGGGTTAGGTTTGGTTGGGGTTTAGGGGTTAGGGTTAGGGTTTTGGGTTGGGTTTAGAGTTTGGTGTTGGATTAGGCCGTTAAGGGTGGGGTTTTGGGTTTGGGGTTTAGGGGCTGAGGTTGCGGTTTAGGGCTGAGGCTTAGGGCTGGCGCTAGGCTGGGGGTTAGGGTTGGGGTTGGTTTCGGGGGTTTGGGGTTAGTTTGGGGGTTAGGAGGTTTGGCTTGGGGTTAGGGTGGGTCTTGGGCCTGGGTTGGCGTTTGGGGTCTGTGGCTAGGGCTAGGTATATATATATATATATATATATATATATCATATACTATATATATATATATATATTATATATATATATATATTATGTATATTATATATTATGGGTTGATCTTTGTCACTAAGTGGGATATCCACCAACTTTTAACCACTCATTTATATATAAAAAAAACATCTTCAATATCTTTCATGGATGCCCTAGCAATATCCAATGGCTAAAGTTTGGTAGATAAACTTTTTAGCTATCCATTTAAGTTGACACAAGTTTTCTATATATATATATATATATAATATATCATATATATATATATACTATATATAGAGAGAGAGAGCAGATGAGAGCGAATATGGTATGCTGGCGGGGGATACAAGCATAAATTTGTGCTTGGTAGTGAGGTGACACAATCTTTTTCACTCATTCAATAAGTGAGACGCACCATTCACATGGGGTTGAGGAATGCATGGGGATATGCAATCATTTGAATGAGTTGAGGGGGGATTATGTCAGCGCTCACTACAAGTCATACTTCTTTGTGCCTTCGTACCAAGCATACACATTTTTCTCATATATATATATATATATATATATATATATATGTATATATATATATATATATATAAAGAGAGAGAGAGAGAGGGAGAAAGTAAGACTCCTATTAACTTAAGTTGATGTCCACCAAACTTCCTAACCACTCATTTATTAATAGAAAAAACATTTTCATATCATGCAAGGATCCCTAGGCAATATGAGTGGCTAAAAAGTTTGGTGGACAACTTTTTGCTATCCACATACTACAAACCCTTTCATTGGCATACTTAGGCAACACATTTCCGTTAGATAGCTAAATCAGAAAGGATGAATCAGAGGACCCTGCCGTTTTTGAATGCTCGAAGTTAATATAGTATTAAAAGCCATAACAATTACCTGAAACTTAAACAACACTTGTTGTAAACGAAAATCGGGGAAAAGGATAAATTTGACCAGCACTATCGTTCTTCATTATAGTATTAAAAGCCATAACAATTAGTTGAAACTTACACAACACTTGTTCTAAACGAAAATGGGGGAAAAGGATAAATTTAACCAGCACTATCATTCTTCATATTAGAAAAAGGGAACATTGATACGTTATAAAGGAAAAGACTCAATGAATGCTCATACCTCATGCAATAACTTCGCAACATATAAAGCAGACAAAGGCGTCTGTTCTGCAGTCTTAAGTACAATTGTGTTTCCACATGCTAGTGCTGGTCCAACCTTCCAAGCAAACATAAGGAGTGGGAAATTCCATGGAATGATCTGACCAGCAACACCAATCGGCTCATGAAGAACTTGTACATGATGGGGACCATCAGCCGGGACAACAAGCCCATGTATCTTGTCCGCCCAACCTGTTCAATTTAAAATTTAAGAATTGCGTCAATGACATAATTAGCCCATAATTAATATAAGAAATTTTTATGTAATTAGCCCATAATTAATATAAGAAATTTTTATGCATAGAATGAAAGGGGCTACGGCACAAGAGAATAAGAAAGTTTACCAGCATAATAGCGCATGAAACGTGTTAGCATAGGAATTTCGACCTGGGCAGCCTGTTCATAAGGCTTCCCGTTGTCCCAAGTTTCTAGCGCTGCAATTTCATCATTGTGCTTCTCAATCAAATCCGCAAACCTTAGCAATATGCGTGACCTTTCCTGGATAAATGAACAAGAAAGAAAGAAAGAACAATAACAATCTTCAGGAAACTGAGGTCAACTATGGAGAACAAAGTCAATCTTGGTAAGGAGATGTTGAGTCATAGAAGACAAAAAAACAATGGAAATCATCACAAAAAAAAAGAGGCAAGTCACATCAAAGCAAACAGTCTGGCCGTCTCTGATCAAAACGAGGCTGGTACAAAACAGAGCATTAAGTTGTGACACTTCTATGGAAAAAGACCAGAAGCCTACAACTAATTGATATCTGGATATAAAGCATCAGCGTTGAGTCTAAGGTGAGGAACCACATAGGAAAATAGAGTGGATTGCCACAGATACTAGAAGAGCATGAGTGTTGAGATCTTTTATTGCTGGCGCAGGTCATGCAGGTCAATTTTCTGCAACCGTAAAGCAGCTTTTGAGAATTCGAAGACTACAGACATTTTCCCATAGAAGGACTAAAATTCAGTTTCAAGGCACAATGCAGGCCATAGTTGCAACTTCAGCATTCAGGAAGAGCTTGGTAAGATTCATAAGGACATAATAAGAGAACAGTTTGATGATAGCTAGATACGAGAGTGTTGGCAGGAATAGGATAGAAAAATCATTATTTATTCATGTACAGAAATCATTGTGTTCACCATAAAATTAACATAACAACAGTTAGATAATCTTTCTTAATTAACAGTAGAAGGCTCCAATCCTGTCGTTTGATCTTTCCAAATTGTTTCTAAATAAAAATCAAAATGTTGTGATAGAAGCACCGACTTTACATGAATAGAGACTTTACAATTATTTTCACTTGCTATTCATGTAAAGTTCAGCACAATTCAGTCAGACAAATTACTGCCGAATTATTTGTCCTCCAAACTACTTGAACACTCTCTCTATTGAGTTAGCAAATATTGTGACTATAATATAGACAAGCGATCCATATTTTAATTCCAATAATAGTGAAACAAGCAAATGGAGATGGCAGTTTTAGATAATCACATAAGCGGGCATCTTTGGCCAGGGTCCTTCATCGAATGCGTTGCGAGCAGCAGCAACAGCATGGTTGACATCTTCAGCATCTCCTTCTGCAACATGAGCAATAACTTCCCCGGTTCTAGGATCCAAGGTCGGAAAAGTCTTTCCTGTACCCAAATGTTCACCTCTTAACGTGATGTTTTGAGTAACAATTACAGGCTATCTTAGCTAAACAATGTACCTGAAGCCGAATCCACAAAATTTCCATTTATTAAAAGCTTTGTGTACTCTACTTTGACGGGTGGTGTGATCGGTTGCTCGTCAACTGCAGCAGCAGTGCCATACCTTTGAATTCCGGATGAGGCACCTGAACGAGAATATAGTTTGCAAAATTTTAGAACCAGCGATCAAAACCCTGAAAGCACAAATGTAAGTAGGAAATTCCTAGCTAACAATCAAGTTATTTCACTAGTACTCTGAGTCAAGGACTCTCCACATAAAGGGTAGACCTCATACGTAGAAGCGCCAACAAGATCTCCAATAGAGAAGATAATTGTGAAGCTAGTTGAGCAATAGTCAATATGAAGGATAGGAATTTTAATGACTGCAGATCTACCCCAGTTTCCATCATTATATAAAAATAAATAAATAAATAAATAAATCTCTCTTCTTCAAACAGTTTCAAGAGAACCACAGTACTTCGATGCTCATTGTCAAAGGCACAATAATTGGGGATATATGCGCGAATCTGAAAAGAGAAGAGAACTTTGATGATGTTGAAATCTCTAGACGAATGGCTGATATTTTAAACATATCACGTGAGTTAAACCTACTAGAAACCCCCATAGCCCCATAAACAGAAAATCCTCGAGATATCGAAAAATCTTTACGAAAATAAAAAGGAAAGAGGAGTAATTAAGATGCTTTCTTCAATGAGAGTACCCTCATCCATCACTTCGCCAACGCACACTTCAAGATCCCAGAACGAACAAAGAACAAAGACCAACAACAATCTCCAACAGGTGAATACCAAATCCACCATCCCCATCAAGTATATGCAAACCAATTCAAAACTCTTGCTAAAAAACCACAACTTTTCTCATGGAAAGAAATCTCATCCTTAAAAACAAAACGGCCCAAAACCCAGAATGAAAAAAATTCTTCCAACCGTCTTAAAAACATCAATACACAGAGAGAAATCACCCAATACCACGTGCAGATGGAAAAGCAAATACCCATAAAGAAAAACTTCACCGAATCAAAGGAAAGATCAACGAAAAGGCCATGATTCAATTTTTATTCGCCTCAAAAGTTTGATAATTTCATAAGAAAGAAGAAAAAAAATATAAGAAGTGAAATCGTCACCTCCTCTGAGGAGAATAGAACGAGGAGAAGCGGATAAGCAGCGAGAGATAATACTGGAAGTGATCCTACGAGCAGCCGCCATCGCCTTCAGTTCTCAAATATTTCTCCTCCTCTCTGATCTTTAATTAATTTTATCAGTCACTGAAGCTGCAGTGATTGAGGTTTGAGGAATCAGACGGGGCCTGCTTGCCTGCCTGCCTACTTATAGATAAGAACTACCTACTTATTTCCGTCTATATACAGACGTATACTCAGGAGCAATAAATTCATGATGACGCAATATAGAAAATTTTCTGGTTTGGATATTTTGAAATAAGGATACGACGACGAGAACGACTCGACAATTCATTTTGCTAAATAAATAATAATAGAAAATTAAACTGACAATTTATTTTACTAAATAAATAATAAAAAAAATAGATTGACGTTCGCTCGTTCTAAAAAATAAAATGATACTGGCATATTCTCAGGCACACCCTCAGTCACACACTCTCTCTTGCTACAGTATACTAGGTTCACATGAGATTTTTAAAAAATAATCATATGTGGGCCTAGTGCACTGTAACAAGAGAGGGAGTGTGTGCATGAGAGTGTGTCTGTAGTGTCTTTCTTCTAAAAATCATATTAATAGAAAAATGCGAATGTTATATTTTTATTTTTTAAATATCTATTTTGTTAAAGGAACCGTCGATTCATAATCATTAAGTACTTTGAATAAATATGTAAAAAAAATAAATAAATCAAAGGATTTAGAGTGGACAAGGCCGAAGGAGACAAGAATAGGCCTACCAAGTTTTAAAAAACAATTTAGTACGCCTCAATTATTGCATGTAGATTATGGACCGCTACTTTTATTATCAAAATATCTACTATTAACTGGCAAGTTGCAATTTATTCTTGATTTTAGGATTTACCACATCTCCATGCATTAACGCTAGTCACAACATCTCATTTTGTAGCAAACAGTTTGTGTTTAAAATAGTGGTCTCTTAATTAATTATTTGCTATAGTGAAAATCTAGGTACTGAGATATTAATTACTAGATTGAAAATAATTTCGTGTCGGATACTAATAAAGAAATTTGATAGCATCGTCTATGAGGCATAAGAAAACATAACTAATTTCATATTTAGGATGTGTTTGGCAACTTCAAAATTAAACTAAGCTAGACTAAATTTGATCCATATAATGATTGGTCACAAAACAACTAGTCTAAAGCTAATAATTTGAACTAGAAAAAAATTAGTTCAATTTTAAATCTAACTTTTTCCCAGACTAAAAATAGAATTTTGGACCAAGGTTACATTAACTGAAGTAAGTTCTATAGGTTTGCTAAACACACCCCCAGATTATGCCATGGTAGCAACAAGAGAAGTGTTTGTTTTATTATATAATAATAATTTAGTTTTAATTTGTTGGTGACCTAATGTAGGATGTCAATGAAGAAATTGGACGGTTACCCTATAGAATTGGAATAGAGTTGGATGGGACAAAACAAGATTAGGTGGAACACAATGAGCTGATGAGACCGTGGAGGAGATTGGGGGGTACGTTTTGTGAATTACCCCCTACAGATTCCAGTTTGGCACGCCTAGTAAAGCCAAAATTGATGGACCAGAGATGGATAAGGACCTTTTTTTTTTTATTAAACTCAAAGTGCGTGAAAACCTCTCCGAAATTTATTGATTGCTTATAGAATATATCAGATTAATTTGAAATTTGAGATATCTATGACAGCAATCTGGTTTCCAACTTTGCAGCTACATGTAAGCGCGACGAGTGAAGACGTTTGTTATTTAGTTCTGTCTTTATCCTCATGGATCTCTTTATTCGGAGGATGATTGTTTTTTAGTAGTATAAGAAATGAAAAGTTAGTAACTATAGATTTTTATTTTGTGTTGTTATATTAGTAAATCTTGAGAAGGGCATCTTGCTTTGACCTTTTAAAAAAATGGGTTATTGCATATATACCCCTTAAATCATTGGTACTTGCAAAAATACCCTCCCAACTCTCGGTATTTATAAACTACCCCTCAAATAATCCGTTTTGGAAAACATTACCCTCAAAGCAATTAATCAGAGCAAATTTATAATTACAATATAAAGGTTATCAATAAAATAGTTAAACTTTTATCACCAAGTTGATAATTTGTTGATCTTAGGAGTAATTTTTCCCAAAGTTGAAAGTAGATATGCAAATATTCAGATTTTAGGGGTACTTTTGCAAATCCCCATAATGAAAGGGGTATATACGCAAATGAACCAAAATGTTAATAATCTGCATCAGATGAGCCATGAAAATGTTAATAATCTGCATCAATAAAATAGTTAAACTTTTATCACTAAGTTGATAATTTGTTGATCTTAGGAGTAATTTTTCCCAAAGTTGGAAGTAGATATGCAAATATTCAGATTTTAGGGGTACGTTTGCAAATCCCCATAATGAAAGGGGTATATACGCAAATGAACCAAAATGTTTTTGATACGAAACAATTTTGCTAGTAACTTTACATTAATCTGGATCAGATGAGCCATGAAAGCACTCATAGAAACACAAAATAGATAAAATGTAACTGTGTTGTCAAATCAGTTCTCAGTTGGTTTTCTTGGTTTCGCTTTTGATAGGGCTTCGTTCTGTGATGTTGGAACTTAGAAGGTTTGATTATCACAAGATAAATGCATTTCTTCTTACTTGGTGAATGGTCGTAATCATGAAAAGACCCTTACTTGCTTTTTGAAGTCCTCTGATCCTCTTGTTTACTTCTTTGCATTTTACAACTAGATATCTTCTTGCTTATATATTTGGTAAAAGGCGCATATATATTTTTTTTTTATCACTTCCATCTGTTGTCAGCTCCTGCATCTTTAAAGTTAATCAACATTTATTTGAGGTATTAACTAGTTAATAATTTAAATATATAAAGATGCTAACGCAGCATGGTGCGCATTATTCTGCATATTTCTCTTGCATGTAACATTATTACTACTAAATATAGTTTCTACTATGATTCATTATCGTACTTGTATTTACAAATTTTGAAACATGAAGTTACAATATTTGTTGTTTTAATTCCACATCTCTAACAACAAAATAACGTTTTCTTAGAAAGATGAAGTTCTAGAATTCTGAATTTTATTGCACTTAATGGTGTTTAAATATCCAAGAGAATGAGTACGCCCCTTTTGATTGCAGAAACATTTGTAATAAATTGAGGACAATGAGACTGTAATTGTGAAAAACCTAGTGAGATTATTAGCTCTGTCTAGGATGTTATTTATAGCGTTTAAAGAAACAAAAAAGTTTTGTTACATTCTGACATCCCAGCATTTAGCAACATATCAAGTACATATTTTCTCTGAAATAAGAGGATTCACTTTTTCGATCTAGCTACCTCGATACCCAAAAAAACATTTTAAGGGTCTAAGGTTCTTAGTTTAAAATTATTGTCGTAGATACTTTTCAAATAACTAATGTCATGTGCATTGTCGCCGGTAATCACAATGTCATCAATATATACAACCAAAAGGATCTGCTTCCCACAATAAAATCTTCGTAAAATTGAGTGATCTTTCTAAGCTTGATAAAGACCAAAGGTCTAAACAACTACGGCAAAACATCCGAACCAAGCCCTTAGACTGCTTCACACCGTAGAGAATTTTTTTTTTAACCTGCAAACCTTGCCACACTCCCTCTGAGCAACAAAACCTAGTGGTTGCTCCACATAAATCTCCACATCAAAAATGTCATTAAGGAATGTATTCTTAACATCCAACTGATATAGTGACCAGTGATAGTGAGCAGCAAGCAAAATAAGTATGCGGAAAAATATCATTTTAGCTAAGGAGAAAATGAATCGATATAATTAAGATCATAGATTTGTGAATACCCCTTTGCAACTAGTTGAGCTTTGAGGTGAGCTAAAGAGCCATCTGGAATTACTTTGACAGAATAAACTCATTTACAGCCAACCGCTTTCTTCCTTGGTGGTAAGGAACAAGATTCCACGTCCCATTTCTCTCTAAGAACGTCATTTCTTCTTGCATTGCTGTTGTCCAACCTGAGTAGATAGAACTTCTAACAAATCATTGGAAATTGAGTGAAAATCCAAAGAAGATATGAACAAGTAATATGATGGAGTTAACGAAACATAAGAGTGTTTGGGTAGAAAATTATATTCTTCATTGTATAACTCATTACAACTTCGATCGTTACAACAAGTTAAAAAAGATCGGTCTTTTTATAAGACCTTTGTACAATGAAAATAAAAATTACAACTCTCGTTAAACAGCACAACGGGTGTTTCTCGCCCGCTGCTTGCGTGGGATCTTAGCCTGTGACGGGGACGTTGATACCCATGGACTACCAAATGATCAGATCATATCCGGAGCTTCGTTGATTCGCGAAGGAATCAAGAAACCGAAGCAGTTATCTCGACAACGGCGAGATAACCACTCTTCTCGAGATCACCACAACGGGGCGATCTCAAGGAAGGAACCGGGAAGTGTAGATCTGACGAGCTCCTCTTCTTTATGCTGACGAACTCGATCTGATCTCTCCTCCTCCTCTCTGAAATTTGTGGCTCTTCAGTCCTCAATTCGGCAGGGCTTCGCCGACGCTCGAGAATTCTAGATTTGAAAAAAAATAAAGGCCCTGGGGTTGTATTTATAGGCTTCAAGGCCCCTGTTTTCCGATAAGAACGATCGATTCACTCTTATCTTCAGTTGTAACCACTTAACCATGTTCTTGGATAGGTTCAGATCAATTAGAACAAATCTAGGTGGTTAACGTTAAAAAACGGCTCAAAACAATCAAAAACAGCATTCTGGGGTCTGCGGATACCCGTGGGTGTCTCGGCTTGGCCGAGACACTCGTGGGTGTCGACACCAGTGGGTGTCTCGGCCTGGCCGAGACACCGGTGAGTGTCTCGGGTATTTTGATCCTAACTTTCTCATATGACCTCCAAATGACCTGATTCTAGATGCATTGGCAAGCTGACAAAGAGATATACAACTTTCATATTTTCAGTTTCTTCATATTCGAATCGAATCATAACCAAAATCATCATTCTTCTCCAAGACACCAACACTGTCTCGGAATTCTGAGACAGTTTGTACTATATTCGGTATTTTGGCTTTATCTTTCTCATATGATTTCAGAATGAGTTGATCTAAGATGCATTGGAAAT